CCCCCCAGCTAGGACCTGACTCTGACCTTGCCGTGCCCAATCTGACTGTCCCTTTTTATGTGACGTGGGGTGGGGGGTGGGGGGACGGGCCAGTTTGCCCCAGTTTGTTTGAGACAGGGGTTGTTTTTTATTTTGTATTGTTATGTTTAATTTAAATCGATGGCTGACGTGCAGTCATCGTCCTCGTGGTTGTCGTTGTCGTTGTCTCGTCGTTGTGCCCCTGCCTGGAGGCAGTCCCCTGCCCTGGCTTTCCCTTGGGTGGGCAGGGGCAGAGGAGTGGTCTGTCCAGACCTTGAAAGCCCTTCGCTGCCAGGACTGATGTCCTTGCACAGGCCAGAATCCTCTGGGGCCCAGGTGGGCACCTCTGCCTCGTCACCACATGGGCTTTCGGGACCACTGAGAACCCAGGCTGCTCTGCCCAACCCCCCGCGCTCCTCGGTCTCTGACACTGTCTTTGGGCGCCTGGAGAGCCCACGCCCACCCCTCCGGTGCCCAGTGCCCTCCCCTTCCCTGGGCTGGGACAGAATAAATGTTTGTATGGATTTTAGAGTTCTGGTTTTGTGGTGGTCTGGGTGCCTGTGAGAGGGGTCGCGGTCCCCAAGGCCAGGGCTGACCCCCTGGAATGGGAGATGCAGAAGTGCGGTCGGTCAACATGTTTATCCCTGCACTCCCTTCCATCTCGTGGACCCCCCTTACTCGGCCCCTCTGTCGGGGTGGGGAGCTCAGAGGACCATCCTGTCAGTGCGTCTGCCCTGCTGGGGTAGAGGAGATAGGGCAGTGCCTAGTTATCCCCCTGAGAAAGGACACCCATGCAGGGGTTGGGGATGGAGTAGGCCCCGCCCACCACCCAGGTGACCTCCACTGCACTCCACAGCTTTGGGAATGTGGTATGGTGGGTGGTGGGTGTGCATTGTGAGATACATTGTGTGCAGTATGCGTGATGTGTGTTCCATATGGGAGGTGGGGGAGTGGAGGTGTATGTTGTGTGTATGTGGTCTGTTTTGAATGTGTATATGATGTAGGTGTGGGGGTTGGTTGGCGAGATGTTTGTGGTGTGTGGATGTGAGGTATATATATTTGGTGTATCTGGAGGGGTCTGGTATATGAGGGGGTTGTGTGTATATGAGGTATGGTATGTGTGGGGTGTGGTAAGTGGGTATAGTGTATGTATGTGGAGTATGTATATGATGTGTGGGGTACGGTGTGTATAGGGTCGGGTGTGGTTGGTAAGTAGGTATGTGGGGTGGAAGTATGTGTGGTGTGTTTGCATGTGTGGTGGGAGTGTGGTATGTATAGGGGTGGAAGTATGTGTATATGGTGGATGTGATGGTGTGGGTGTGGGATTGTGGTATATAACGTGGGTGTGTAGATGAGATGGTATGTGGTGTATGCAAATGCGCACACATTCAGGGGCTTAAAGCCCCCACTTGTTAGCTCACCTCACTGCGAGACCTGCCGTCGTGGGCAGGGGGGGTGCGGGGAGTGTTTTCTCTCTGCTTCCCAGCTACCCCCACGTAGTCGCCACTGCTTCCACAGAGCTGGGTGTCTGTCCTTCCCACCTCCCACCCATCATCATCTTCATACAGGAGTGCCGGGCCCCACAGGCCACCTATCTGGGCACTGCCTGCCCTGGATCAGCGCCCAGGGGAGGTTGCGGGCAGGGCAGAGCAGGTGGTGGGCGATGGGTGCAGGTCAGCCCTTAGACCAGCTTCAAGCGATTGGTTCAACTGTGCTCCAGGCTTTGGGCTGCCTCCTTCAGTCCTGGGGAGGAAGTGGTGTTCCCAGTTCTGCGGCACTGAGCTGGCTCAGCTGGAATCAGCCCTTCGAACAGCAGCTGCGGCTGCCGCAGCAGCACCACCGCAGGGTTTCGCCCCATGGCAACCGGATTAGGGCTGTCACTTAAAAAATTTTGTTTAATATTTTAAATCATTTTATTGGGGGCTCCTACAGCTCTTATCACAATCTTATCACAATCACATCCTTCCATTGTGTCAAACACATTTGTACATATGTTGCCATCATTTCAAAACATTTTATTTCTACTTGAGCCCTTGGTATTAGCTTGTTTTTTCCCCTCCTTCCTCCACCTTCCCTCCCTCCCTCCCTCCCTCCCTCCCTCCCTCATGAACCCTTGATAATTTAAAATCCGCCCCATGTCTTATACCAACCAGTCTCCCTTCAACCACTTTCCTGTTGTCCACCCCCCTAGGAAGGGGTTATCTAGAGATCACTGTGATCCGGTCCTCCTTTCTCCCCCCACCTTCCCCTTCCCCTCCTGGTATCGCTACACTCATGATTGGTCAGGCTGGAACTCTTTACTGAAGCAGACAGCCTCACCTTTCTGCCGAGTACCGGCGGGTGGGTTGGAGCCACCGACCTTTCAGTCTGTGCAGCACTTAGTCTGCTGTACCACCGGGATCTCGAGCTGGCACAGCCCAGTAAGGACATTGGTGTCAACGGCAATGCCCCCCATGTGCGCACAGCTGAGCCCCACAGGGCTGTCTGGCCGCGTTTTCCACCTTCCAGGGCACTTGAACCTACAGCCTTCACAGTAGCAGCCGGCGCCGTTAGCCCCACTCAGACTGCCCACACTGGTGGGTAAACGGGTGAAGGAGTGGATTAAAAGGGGCGGAGCCTGTAGCTGCAAAGCTCCACACAAGGCCCGCCCACTGCTCCCACCACTCTACCCTGGGCTCCAGGCTCCGCCTCGGAGGCTCTCCCCGAAGAACCTCCCTACCTTTAGGGAACCCATCGACTGCCATGGGTCTGATTCAGAGACCAGGCCCACCCAGGCCCCCTCCTCACCCCTCCCTCGAGATGCCCGCACCCCCCACCCCCAAATCTTACTTAGCACGGCCCACATGAGGCTTGGCCCCCACCTGTCCCCAGACCCTCCTGCGCGCCCCCTACCCTGGACCTTCCACATCACTTCCGGGTTTTGCACCCAAAGCCCCGCCCCTGACGCCTTCTGTGCCCCAAGGCCCCGCCCACCATTGGGGAACTTGCCTGCCCAGCCCCGTGTTTGAGGCCCCGCCTCCAAGGTCAAGCTCCGCCTTCGATCCTGGACGTCTCTGAAGCCAGACCACGCCCACCTGGCCCCACCCTGCCCCCAAGCCCGTGCAGCCCGTTTCAGCCGGTTGCTGCCGGGCCAACAGCCCCACCACCAAGGCCGCCCGGGACACCGCGGCCCCGGCCCGATGCTCTGCACCCCTGGGTGGCAGCGCACCCTCCGGGCTCTGCTGGGTTGAGGGCTGGCTAGCACAAGCAAAGCGAGGGCGCACTCGGGGGTTCAGGTCAGGGCCTGGGAAGGGGTGGTGGAAAGCACCGTGCCCATTGGGCCTGAGTCCCTCGGGGCTGCAAGGAGGCGGCACTCAGCGCAGGAAGACGTGGGCTGTCGGTTAACTGAGTCTGGGGGTGAGCTTTCAAGCAAGTCTGCGTGGGTGTATCCGCCCCCCGAAGGAACCCTGCTCAGTCTCCGCCCCACCTGTGTCTCCCCAGCTCTGCCCGCTGAGCCCCGCTTGTTCACATTTGCTGAATGGGGCGGGGCCAGCCGAGCCTTCCAGGGCTGGGCCCTGAGCCAGGGTCCCCCACAGCCCGGGCCCCGGGGACACGGCCCTGGGGGACACCATGACTCTGACTCAGCGTCCCAGCCCTCAGACTGGGAATAGCTGAAAGGAGAGGGAAACCCAGGCCGTGATGGGGGACTGCTCTGGTCAAGGGGGCGCCCAGGCTGGAGGGTCAGGGACACCTGAGCTGAGATCCAGAGGGTGAGGAGGCCCGGCCTGGGCACTCGGTCTCGGTGGGCGGAGGGCTAGGGAAAGAGGGCTAGTGCTGCTGGTGTCTGGAGTGTGTGTGGGGGTGCAGCCCAGGGTCCCCTCGGGCTAAGCCGGACTCAGAGGGCCCTGACAGGGACACTCACTGTGGGCAGGACCCAGCCCCTGCAAAGGTGTGCATCTGGTCCTATCCCCAACATAAGTTGGTCGGGGGCTAGTGCCCCAAGATCTTGTACCATAAAGCTGCCAGATGACTCTCTCCCCCCACCCCCGCCCACTTGTGCAGCCAGTCGGCAAACAGGTCCTGGCGCCAGGCCCCGGACAGAGCAGCCGGGAGATCAGAGGAGAAGGGTGTGATGGAGTCATGGCCCTTTGGTTGCGGAACTCAGTATGTTCAGTGGAACATTGGTGTAATGGGAGAGGGGAGGCCTGGGAAGCTGGGGGCGCCCACCCACACTGGGGCTGTGCCAGTTTGGGATCAGCCTGGGTCTGGGAGGAGGTGGCAGGGGGTCATGGAAGGGTCCCCCCTGGGCTGTGTGCTGGGCCCACTGCTGTGAACTCTCCCGACCTCTCTTTGTGCTCAGCACCCAGAGCGTGGACAGCACCAACTACCTCGACGTTTTAGAAGAAAAAGAGAACTCAGGTGCGTGTCCCCAGGAGGAGCTGGGAGTAGTCGGGTCAGGGCTGAAGTTGGGACACTGGGGAGACCTCCCAAAGCCGGTGTTGGCAGCGTGAGGGCAGGTCTAGAGGATCTTCAACTCGCTCGGGAAGCCGCAGGTCCAAGCTCGGCACCCCTGGCTGGGCATGTGGCCGAAGGTGCCTCCCTCAGTAGGACCCACTAGGCTGTTTTTCATGGGTCCTGTTGTCTGAGTCTGTGGGAATGCCTCCCGGCTCCCGGCAGAAGCGGGCAGGGCTCGGGGGTCAGGTCCCTGTGTATGCCGACAGGATGCAGGGACCCAAGCTGCCCCCCACCCCTACCCCATGCCTACTTGCCTGCAAGCCCTGGCTGGCTACCTCAGCCCTGTTTGTTTACCTGCTCTGGTGTCCCTAGCCATGAGCTGGGCAGCCCCAGCACCGTGCTCCCCAGGGGCCCATTAGCCCTCCTCCGGGGTGTCATTACAGGGTGTTTGTCTTGGGCCCGAGCTTCCCTGTTCTCCTTGCAGGGCTCAACTGGGAGGTGAAGGCCAACAACCGCTACTTCCACTGGCAGTTTAAGGAGACAGGCTTCCCGTGCTGCAAAAGAAACAAGTATAAGGTGGGGGCCCACCCTCCACCAGGGTCCCTGCAGAGTCTGGCTTCCCACACGGGTGTGGGGAGGGGTCTCGGCCCCCATGGAAGTCATTTAGCCCAAGGAGGGCGGACCTCCTCCTTGGGTGCCCCGCTTTGGGAAACAGAGTCCTGACTCTGGTGTCCGGCAGGCAGTCCGTGAACGCGGCCACCTGCAATAGGTGCTCAGCTCCTATGAGCCTGAGGACTCCGCAGGCCGTAAAACACGGAATTGAGGCTGGCTCGAGGCCTTATCTCCCGGGGCGGGCGGCGTTGGGCTGCTAACTGCAAGGTCAGAAAGATGAGGCTGTCTGCTCCCATATAGCAGCGACTCACTCCGTGGCAGTGGATTTGGTCCGGAGGTCTTAAATAGCTACCTCGGGGCCTTGCATTCCGCTAAGGGTGACTGCAGGCCTCGTATTCAGTAGGAACATCATTAATGCAGGCTTGAGCTCTTAGACGCAGCGGGCATTCAGTCCTGCTAGCTGGCCGCCTTGTGTCCAGCCAGCGCGCTGCTGCCATTGAGTGTTGGACGGAGGCCTCGTGCCCACTTGGCGGGTGCTCGGGAAACACTAGCCATCTGAAGCAGTCTGTCCACTCGGCGTCCGTTAACACCGACTCGAGGTGCAGCCTCCACGTGCGTCCAGCAGGCATTCAGTAACCCTGGACAGAGGCCTTGCACCCAGAAGATGTTTGAGGAGCACTGGCTCTGGCCTGGTCCTTAGCCTCCTTCAGACTATTGCAGAGGGTACTGGGTGAGGCCAGGTGTGGCAGGTGGCAACGGGGCGCCTGCCCTGGGCAGCGCTTCCATGCCAGCTGGTGGGGGCGGGCGGCTGTCTTTGTAGACCAACATCATCCGCACGGCCAAGTACAACATCTTCACCTTCTTGCCGCTGAACCTGTACGAGCAATTCCACCGGCTCTCCAACCTCTACTTCCTCTTCATCATCATCCTGCAGGTGGGCCCTCACGGTGGGGCAGGGAACTTGTTAGGGTGAGGGGCATCCCTGGCGGGGGGCCGGGGGGTGTGTCCTACCTTGAAGCAGCACTCACTGGCGGGCCAAATAATCTAAGACTACCAAATCATCCAAGTTACTACCTGGGGCTCAAATCTGAAGTGCCACCTCCTCTGGGCAGCCCTCCCTGCTGAGCCCTGCTGAATGTGATCTGGAAGAGCTTGGGTGATGGAAGAGGGTTTTTGCATGACCAGAGAGCTAATTAATGCCCAGACCCTCACTGACTGGGGGTGCCCCAAGGGCGGACTTGGCATATGGAGATGTTCAGTGTGTACTGGAGTGAGGGGGTGTGGCAAGGGTGTGGGGGCTTCCCCAGGTCCAAGGAGAGCCCCCTCTCTGAGCCCTGCTGACCCCAGCCTAGGCCACGTGGCTCCTGGGGCCCCTGTCTGCAAACTGACCCCCGAAAGGCCTCAAGGAAGTTTCAACAGTCAGGGTGCAGTGTCTGGGCAGCCCTGCCCCCAGAGCTTCGCACGTAACCACCCCCACCCCCCATCCCTGTCTAGCAGCTCATGAACCCAGACAACATCTGCAGCACCTACTGTGTGTGGTCCCGACTTCATGCTGCTGGGTGTCTGGCAGGGGTGACTGTCCCTGGAGGGACAGGGGTACGGTGGGGGGGGGATTCCTGGAGGCTGTGAGGTGGGAGCAGGGGGCTGGGACTTGGTGATGTGGCCCTGAAGCTGGTATGAGAGGATGGCCAGCCCAGGACCAAGTGGGCTCCCAGATGCTTCTGAGGAGGGGCAGCATTAGACCCCAGGGTGGGGAGGCTTTGGAGTGACTACTCATCTCCGTCAGGGCATCCCCGAGATCTCCACGCTGCCCTGGTTCACCCTGTTCGCCCCGCTGCTCTGCCTGCTGTTCATCCGCGCCTCCCGAGACCTGGTGGATGACATCGTGAGTGGCCCCAGCCCTGGGCACCGTGGCCACGTGGGGCAGGTTGCCCACCGATGCCCAGACTGTCCTGGGGGGCCACCTTGTTTTCTGGCTGGGGGCCTGTGGGATTACGCGGTGGCCTCATTGGGCTCAGGCAGCCGTGCCGTGTGGGCGGCCGTTGGGTTCTCTTTGGGTTTCCTCCCAGCTGGCTGTTGGCAGTTTTCAAACACCGGCAATTCCCCGGCGCCGGTAGATACAAACAGCAACAACCCAACACTCTCTGCCACCTGGTCGATACTGACTCTGCCCCATGGCGGCCCCGCAGGACAGGGTGGACCCGCCCCTGTGGG